TTAAGAGATAGAGTTAATGTGTTGTACTTAAGTAAGGAATATCAACCTTTAGTCCAGTTTGACCAGTGTCTTTATTACAGCCAAGGAGATCCAGACAAACACAGATAAGGCATCATGTGAATACACAGAGAAGATTTAAAAGCATATCTGCAAGCCAATGGCTGTGGAGAATCACAGGAAGCTACCAGAAACTGGTAGAAAAGTGCTAGACCAATTTTACCTAAGAAGTAGCCTTCTGTCTCATGGCTCTTTTTGTTTTAGTTCCATCCTCAAAATCATGAAAGAACAGATGACTGCTGTTTTAAACAAACAATTTTGTTCAATGTGTTGGAAACACATAAGGCAGATTTTGGTAACATGTAGTGATGCCTATAATTATATCAGTGTAATTTCTATTATTTTCCTCACAATCCTCCTGTCTCAGCTTTCCAAGAGCTAGAGCTATGGGTGTGTAGTATTTTTTACACTAATGTAATTTTTAAATACTGGCTTGAAAATTATTAACAATAAGAGGGTAACTGTTTCCTCAGCTAGCTTATACTTGATGGCAAGCAATGACATTGCAAGTTCATTGAAAGGGAAATAAGCAATGAGATTGATAACAGAAAATAGAAGAGCTCTTATAGGAGACTTTTAAACAAATTGGAGCAATGACAATCAACTTACCTTACTTGGTTTTTCTCTGAGCTCTTTAAGTGGTGTTCTCACCTGTCTTCTTCTCCTTCTAGAATACAAATTCAGCAAAGAATATCAAGACACTGTACTCTTGCACTAGCTATACCTACTGCTCAAATCCTTGCTGTGGGGTCCAAGCAAGTGCATACCTAGTGAATAAGTAGTCTACACTTTCTACTGAGATGGTTTGATTGTCAGATTGACTAGATTTAAAGTCATCATGGAAATATATTTCTGGTATGACTTTTGTTCTCAGAATGTTTTACCTGAAGAAAGATGACTCATGCTCTATGTAGACATTACCATCCAACTGGCTGGGGTTAAATGCTCAATAACAAGGAGATACACCAGGAATCACTTTCTTCTGCTTCTTGACTGGATACAATATGACCAGATGATTTATACTCTTGCTTCTATGATCTCCAAACTATGAATCAAAATGAATCCATTCTTCCTTAGAGTTTCTATTCTGGGCATTTGTCACAGCAATGAAAAGAATAACACACCTTCTACAATGTGCTTGTAGATGGGAAGGAAAGCTACATGGTGTTTTAATCACAGGGTTTACAAGATACTATATAATGGTTTAGTATTAAAACAGCAGATAGCTATTGGACTTAGAGTTTTCTACAATTGAAACTTATTTAACATGACAACATTGTAATTTATTGGATGACAAAAATAATTGACTGAAGTGTCATAAAATCTCCTGGGTCTTTTAAATTACCTGGATGCATTGTTTTATTTAGAGTTCATCAATGCTTTAATAGAGGCAGAAAGTGCTCAGAGGGGAATAGCCACATCCCTGGGATCTCATGGTTGGTTAGTAGTGGTGCTGAAGTTAAAGCCATTGCCCTCCATAAGCCATGGTTGCAGACATGTAGAAGACTGCAGTTAGATGCACAAAACTTAAGTCAAAATGGATCAAAGATCTCAACATAAATCCAGCTACACTGAACCTATTAGAAGACAAAGTGGGAAATACCCTTGAATTAATCGGTACAGGAGACCACTTCCTGAACATTACACCAGTTGCACAGACACTGAGGTCAACAATTGATAAATGGGACCTCCTGAAACTGAGAAGCTTCTGTAAGGCAAAGGAGACAGTCAGCAAGACAAA